AAACACATCATGACTTTTCTGATGACCCATTACAGTTTAACAGCCATCATTTTAGTCCTTGTTCTGGACTAGGCCCAAGGGATATCAAGAGGACTTACAAAGTCTCTGCCATTAAGGAGTTGCTTAGGGAAAAACATGGACCTCCAAATGTACATGTCTTTTTTCTAATGTCTTCTCCTTTTAATGCTGTCAGGTCAACCTTACACCAGTCTTTTTTTTTTTTTTTTGTAAGAATTATTTTATTTAACTTTATTTACTTATTTTAATTTGACTAAAGAGGACCAGAGAGAGTGAGAAAGCAAGCTGCCAGGTCTGGAATTCGAACCACGGTCAGCCATGTGGGAGCCCAGCATCCTTAACCACCACACCACCTGCTGGCCCCTACCCCAAGTCTTTTAACACTGTAAGCCTTAGCTGAGTGTAACGTGTGCAGTGCTGTCCTGCCAGCTGCTCCTGTCCTTTCTTCTAGGTTCGACGAGGTTCTTCATAGATCTTCTCAGGACCTTCAACCCAGGCACATTGTCAGTTACCTTCTAACTTTAAGGTACTTTATAACCTTCTTATTTTCAGGTGTTAAGGACATTTGAGACCTTCTGATTTGATAAAAGGCCTTCCTTTCATGTAAAATTTTCCTATAAGCAAATCCCTTCAACTAAAAAAATGTGCTTTACGTTATAGGAATACTTGCTTCATCTCTGCCAATTAGCAATTAATGTTCTTTTGTTCAAAAATGATACAAGGCATGGCCACTACAGTCCAGTGAGTAGGAAGTGACAACTGGGTCGGTAGTTACAGCACAATGCATATGTGTTAGGATACAGTGAACGGAACAGACTACCTTAACGCATAACCTAGCCTTGAGGGATCAGAGAGGGCTTTCTAAAAGGGCAAGAGTAGATGTTAATCAGGAGAAACACAGTGATAAGGAACGAGGGAAAGCTCAGAGTTGAGTAAGAATATGATAAGCCTAGTCCCGGAAATGAGACAGGTAAACACGCACAGGCCTTTTTGCCATGGACAGATGCATTTAGGCTTAGTTTCAGGACAATGGGTCCATGTAAGGGTTAAGCAGATCAGGCAGCTGCAGGGTAGAGATCGAAATTGGGAGGTAAGTCAGTAGCATTTTGATAGAAGTTTCGAAGTAGCTATTTTAAAAACTTAGAAGTTGCATCTATTGTTATACAGCAAGAGCTGTAGCTGTACCGTCCCATGAAAGCAATTAAAAAAGGAAATTTTGCTTTTATTAGGTCATCGGGAACGTCATGACATAAAAATACGTCCTGATTTCCCCAAAGACCCAGTAATTAAGATTGCCTTATTCAGAGACTATGGGGCCAGCAGATGGTGTGGTGGTTGAGGGCACTAGACTCCCATGTGGTGAACGACAGTTCAAGTCCGAGACCAGGCAGCTTGCTTTCTCATTTTGCCTCTCTCTCTGTCCCTCTCCAATCTAAATTTAAATAAATAAATAAACAAATAAAATTACATTTTTAAAAAGTCAGAAAGTATCAAGACTGTTTTCTTATTCTTGTCTTACCCAGATCAAAATAAAAGTGTTCTTTCTTTTAGTTCCACTTAGACATATAGAGGTGAAGAAGCCAAAAAGTCTTATTAATCATTAAGACAGATGTCCTAAGCATCATTTCTCTGGCACATTCTACTGGCTGCCATACTTAAAAAGATACTTAAGGAAGAGTGGCCAGTGTGCATGTGTGGAGTGTCCTGAAGCTAGCTCTATCTCACCTTCTCATTGTAGAGAGGGGAAAGGATGCCTAAATGAGGAAAAACTGGATTTTATAAACAAACCCCCTGTATTTATAAAACAAATCATAATCTTAAGAATTTGGCACTAGGTAGCTGTAGAACCAGAACCAAAATCTAAAGCTGGCATTTAGTGTTTTACTTTGTCTATTACAGAACAGTGGTAAATGCCAGTCTCAACTTTCAACTTTGAATGCATTCTTTAATGGCTCTAGTCTTTGGTTTATTTATTTTTAAGTTGTAAGAGTAAGAAGATATCAAGCTCATTTCTATGACAGGAAATTACACTAGTCCTAATCATGCTTTTCTCTTCCTGCTTTAGTCATCTTGCTGCTGTGGCCCACAAAACACTGCAAATAAAAGACAGTCCCCCTGAAGTGGCTGGGGTACGTTATGTTGAGTGTTTTCTGTATAATCTCTAACATCCTCAAACTAATATTACAAAGTCAAGGCTTCTGTTTTTCTAAAATAGAATTCTGTTAAGCTGTAACAATGTACTTGTTAGTAATTAGCTCAATTAGAAGTGGGCTTTAATGATCAGTGTTTATATACTTCCCAGCATACATGGTGAGGTCCCCATATCTGAAGCCGGACTGTCACTCCCACTCCACAACCCCTAGTGTACCAGTCTTCTGAAAGGAATGCTAGGAACTTATCTTCCCTTACCAATAAATTCTAGGGCACATTGACATATTGTTCATTTAAATAAGAAAGTTAAAATTACTTTTAAAATCATTCTCATTTATTTACTTATAGTTGGTCTATTACTGAATTGAACATTTAATCATTCTTTGGTTTATTTTGTAGGCCAGACTTCATCTTTTCAAAGCAGTCCGTTTTGTCCTAGCCAATGGAATGAAACTTCTTGGAATAACACCTGTATGTAGGATGTAATATTTAATTTAAATAACTTTCAGCATGCTAAATGAATCTAGTTATCTTATTCTTAGATGCCTTGCTGTTCAGAATAGGATGTTAACTATTATTCTGCGTCAGAATCTGTATTTTATTAAGTCTACATGACTTATCAACCTGTTCGATCTTTATCCTTAAAAATATCATCTAAGTTCCCTCTTTAGTAGCCATTTGTAAAATTAAGTGGCATCATGTTAAACTGAAAGCATCGTGGTCTAATGAAAGTTAAGGATTAGAGTTTACACTCTGGCTGAAATTTCTTATAATGTCATTCTTCCACAAATTATTCTTATAAATAACATGACTGAGCATTTTCATTCAATAAAATTGATAAGAAAAAAATCTTGATTTTCTTATAACTGTGGCTAGTTTTGAATCAACATAGGAAGATAAAATAAGCATCTTTTTGCCCGTATAGCTGACACCCACGGACCTCATGCTTACCTTTAAGTTGATTTATATAGGTAATTTTTTTTAATAGCCAAAGGGTGTGGGGGGGTGGTTATGAACAAACCAGAGACAGACAGATGGAGGGAGAGGGAGAAAGCCCCCTCTCCCCAATGGGTTATGATCACACTGCAATCCTTTCTCCTTCATTTCTACATTCTGTTGAGAATTTTGGCATGGATGCACATGTGCCTGGCATGATTTTCAAGGCTCAGGGCTGGGATTCAAACTGCACTTGGCCATGTAGATGTCTCCCTTAACTATTAAGCTGAGCCCCCTCCAAACAGGTAACTCTTACTATATGAACTCATGAAATGAATACATTTGAATAGCAAAGAACTACTTGTACAGGCATTGTATTAAGATCGTTTTGTTAAATGTAGTCCATTAACAGGGCCAAGAGGTGGTGTAGTAGTTAAGGCACTGGACTCCACATGGCCAACTGCGGTTCGAGTTCCAGAACCAATGTCTTAAAACTCAAGCTGGGTCCATGTGTGTGTGCCCAAAATCTTGAGAGAAGGATGAAGGAGAAGGGATTGTGGCATAACCATCCCTCCTGGGGGGTAATTTTACACTTTCTCTCTGTCTAGCACATGTGTCCTACACAAAAAATCTCTCTTTTAAAAAAATAGTTCATTAACTGTATTTGAAATGGAGTTTCTTAAACTGGTTCCTTCATGTATGCATATGTTGGTAAGGTATATTTTCTGTGACTCAATTAGCTCATAAGAGCATGGTTTATGTAACATAAATAGTATGTGATATGTTTGATCAGAATAGCCATTCTAATCTGCCAGTATTTCTATTTAGGCAGGTCTGTTGTAAGTTATTCTAAGTGTTGCTATTAGAAATTTTCTAAATACCAATGGCAATCTATTTTTACAAATAGAAAAGCAAATTAGCATGAATCAAGCTTCTCTAGTTAGGATGAACATTGTTTTATATGAACAAGTATGGTTTACCTTCTTAGTCCTAGAAAAGACTCATCAGTTCAGCCTCAATTTTAAGTGGATTACTTTCCAGATTGCTAATTTTCTACTCAAAGTACAGTTAAGATTCCCTTAGCAAGAACCATCTGTGAAGTAAAAATACACAGGACATGTTTTGCATGTCTAATTTTTTTCCCTCTACTTAAGACACTTTCCCTTCCCAAGATCAGTGGTAGCCTCCCATTTGAATCGTGAGTGAAATGACACAGATAGTAATGGTTAGAGGCAAGTGTACAAAAGCAGCTCCCTGAAAAGACTGTTCATTAATTCTTATAACCTAAAGTCCCAAAGCCTTGATTGCAGTCCTTCTTATAAATGCTCTTTTTTGCTTAAAGTTTGCCAGAGTTGATTTATAGCTATTATTTGTGGTCAAAGAACCTTAACTGAGGGAACCAGCAGTTAGCGTAATGGCTATGTCGCTGGACTCCCACGTAGTCGACCACAGTTCGTGTCCCGGACCCAGTAGCTTAAAACTCACGCTGGGTGCATGTGTGTGCGTGCCCAAGATCCCGAGAGGAGAATGGAGGAGAAGGGGTTGCGGCGTGACCATCCCCTCTGGGGGGTGATTTCTCGCTTTCTGTCTCTATGTCTCTCTCTCTCTGTCTGGCCCTATAGTGGAAACCTCTCAAAAAAAAAAAAAAGTACCTTAACTGATGTAATTCTAATATACAGAAAATTTAATTAACATTTTGACCTTTTTATGTTTTTGCATAACAGTACAAAAAAAGACTCAAAATTCATATAAATAAATTAAGTTTATTGCTTATTCCCTATTAACATTATAGAAATTTTTTAAAAACACTGAAATTTCAGATTATTGAGAGCCCGACAGTTAAACATACTTTATAAAAAAAAGTACAAAAGTGACATTAGAAATTTTTTTGAAGAAAAGTATACCCTCTAACAGCAAAGAAATATGAACCAGACAATGAATGGCACAAAGACAGCACTAACAGAGTACTCAGTCGCCACCCAGAAACCTCGTCTGAGTTATGGAATCGAGTCAGTTTGAGAAGTTACACATTCAGCTCGTTTCTGAACTAGACTGTCTTATTTTGTCTTTCTTTCCTAAGAACAGAGTTAGGACTTTACTACTGCTGGGACAAAATACTGTACATGAATTGGGAGAACAAGGAGTCATCCTTCTCCCTGGTACCTGAACAAGAGAACAGATAGTACAGAAATGGCTTTGGCACTTTTACCCTTAAACATTGTCCCGAACCTTGTATACTGTAGCCTCACATGATTTTTTAAATTCCCTATCACTCCATACTTGTTATGTACATAATAAAATTCCTTCATTCTAAAACAATACAGTCTGATCCCAAACAGGTCCACATTAACTTTCCGTATTAGCAGTTCACTCAGATAGCTTTCTTAGTTCTTCTGCCATATGTTAATTTGTTGTTGTTGTTTGTTTAGGCTATCTTGTGGAATTGACTTAAGGCTCTAGTTTAATGCAGATGATTTAGTCTTAATGGAATCTCTCTTGAGGCTGAAAATCACACCCCAATGACTCTCTCTTTTGAAGCTGTTTCTCCTTGTTGGATGGATGTAGTGTCTTGTCTGGGTAATCCATAGAGATATATGGAAACACATACAAGAAGGGTACCCAGAGCAAAGGTGAGTGCTGGAAAGCAAACAAAAAAAGTTTAATCTGTATTTGTACCATTAAAGCTATAATAATCAGCAATTTAAAATTCTGAAATCTTTAAGCTGTAGGTTTATACTTTCAGATCATATGGGAAATACAGCTAATGTGCTATTTTTATGATGGTAAAAGTTTAAAAAGGTCACCCATTCTAGCATACAAACAAAACATTGTAAAATCAAGGGGCTGAACATGAGCATTCCTCTCTCGCACCACTCTGACCAAGAATATACTCTCACTTCCATATCTATATCTATATAGATATAGATATATGTATACACACACACACACCTTTATATATATATATATATGTTTAAAGAAATACATAAAGATAAAAGATAAACATATAAATCCAAAAGAAACGCAGTGACCTTTTTTATTATTCCAGAAATGTGAAAAATAAGATAGTTGAGCAATGGTGGCCCTTGAAACCACTGAAATTTTCTGAATAGGAGATGAGGTGGCAATTTACTAAAGAAGTAAAAATTTCTGCTACTTTTACTTTTTTTTTTTCATCTTAATCCTGAAGATGAGAATACAAGGAACTAAAATGACACTTGTCCAAACTTGGTAAGTAGGTATTACATAAATAAAAGTTTACAGCAAAATTGTATGTTATATTCAGAATTGAGTCATATTCTATATGGCAATGGCATAGTCTTAATAGTTTTTAAAGATGGTACGCAAAGAAATGCTATCAAGTGATAATTTTAATTCACCCCTAATTTAAAAGACCAGCTTTAAAAGCCAGCAGGTAACATGATATTTAAGGCTCTGGATCCCACATGGCTGACTCTGAGGTCTGAGTCCCTGACTCGATGGCTTGAAAAATACACTGGCTAGTGTGCATGTGTGACAGGAGAGTGGAGGAGAAAGGACTACGGCGTGCCATCACTGCAGGGGAGAGTCTCAGTTCCTAAATATTACTTAGGATCAAAGGCTAAAGAATTTTGTTGAACATAAGTATAGATCAGAACCACAATTAAAAGTTCACCCACGAGGGACTGGCAGATGGCGTAGCAGTCATACTGCTGGACTCCCATGTGGCCAACTGGTTCAAGTCCTACACCCAGTGGTTCAGAATCACACCAGGTGTGTGCGTGCATGCCCAAGATACTGGGAGGAGAAGGGATTGCAATATGGCCATCCCCGCTGGGGAGTGATTTCTCACTTTCCCTCTCAGGGTCTCTGTCTTTTCTCTCTCAGGCAAGCCCACACACCCTACGGCAAAAAACTCTTTTAAAAAATTCACCCAAGGGAACCAGCAGTTAGCGTAATGGCTATGTAGCTGGACTCCCACGTAGTCGACCGCAGTTCGTGTCCCGGACCCGGTGGCTTAAAACTCACACCGGGCGCGTGTGCGTGCGTGCCCAAGATCCCGAGAGGAGAATGGAGGAGAAGGGATTGCGGTGTGACCATCCCCCCTGGGGGGTGATTTCTCGCTTTCTGTCTCTATGTCTCTCTCTGTCTGTCTGGCAAGCGCACGCGCCCTACAGTGAAAATCTCTCAAAAAAAAAAAAAAATTCACCCAAGAGACCAGAAGGTGGCATGGTGGTTATGTCACAGACTACCACATGGCCAACTATGGTTCAAGTCCCAGACTTGGCAGTTTGCTTTCTCACTTCCTCCCCTACTCCTTTCTAGTGGGCACATGAACACATGTGAGCAAATTTTAAAATAATAATAAATAAAATAAAATGAATAAATTCTGTTTAAAAAAGAAGTTCACAAAAAAATCAGGTAAGAAAACATCTAAGGTAGGGAACCAGCAGTTAGTGTAATGGCTATGTCGCTGTACTCCCACATAGTCGACCATGGTTTGCGTCCCGGACCCGGTGGCTTAAAACTCAGGCCAGCTGCGTGTGCGTGCGTGCCCAAGATCCCGAGAGGAGAATAGAGGAGAAGGGATTGCGGCGTGACCATCCCCCCGGGGGGTGATTTCTTGCTTTCTGTCTCTATGTCTCTTTCTGTCTGTCTGGCGAGTGCACGCGCCCTACAGTGAAAACCTCTCAAAAAAAAAAAAAAAGAAAGAAAGAAAGAAAGAAAACATCTTAAGGTAGAACCTATCCCTGAATACTGAAATAGTAAATGCCTTACGCATCTTACTTGCTGTGCCGGGCACCATTCTAGGCATATTACGTGAAAACAATCCTAAAAGGAAAGTACTATTATTATGCCCATTTCTTTTAAAAGAGAGGTTTTTGCTATAGGATGCATGTGCTCACCAGAGAGAGATATAGAAAGCGAGAAATCACTACCCCGCCCCAAGGGGTATGACCATACTGTGATCCTGTCTCCTCCATTCTCCTCTTGGGATTTTAGGCATGCATGCACATGCACCTGGTGTGTGTTTCAAGCCACCGGGTCTGGGACTTGAACCACTATCAGCCATGTGGGAGTCCAGTGACATAACCATTACACCATCTACTGGTACCATTTTATTCCCATTTTATGGGATAAATAAATAAAATGAGGAAAGAGATACACATTATATAATTTCCTTAAGAATGCAAAGTTTAAAATGGTATAAACCATACTATTAAATAGTTTTCTAGAATTTCAGAAGCCAATTTAGGGTGGATGTGAGAGCTAAGGAAAATTATATTAGAAGGACTAACATGTTGTGGTACCAGAATGTCAGCTATAGTAAGAAATTTTGTATGAGTTACATATTTAGTTAAATATGTATTTATAAAAGGAACAAGACCATCTAGATTTGAATTTTTTTTTAACCTTAGGGTGTGTGTGCTTGCCAGAGAGATACAAAGGGAAAGTGAGAAATTACCCCCCAGGGGGGATGGCCCATGCCACAGTCCCTTCTCCTTCCAGGATCTTGGCACTCACACACACGTGCCAGGTGTGATTTTCAAGCTACCAAGTCTGGGGCTCAAACCATGGTTGGCCATATGGGAACAAACGCTACACCGTCTGCTGGTCCCTTGAATTGTATTTTCAAAACCAATTCATAGCCAAGTCCAAAAAAGAAAGTTACAAACTAAAAGAGGGTGAGGAGAGAGGAAAAGTGAAAGATGTCTTATGTCTTCCTCAAAATAATAAGCCTAGAGAGATGAATTCCACTGCTGAAAGTACTCATTTCCAAAAGTCCTTTATATCCTTCAGTACATGATCTTACTATATTCACTCTGAATCACTCAAGGTGTCCTGTAACTAATACCTAAGGAACCGGGAGACCTGGACTGCAAAAAAGGCTTTTTCGTAATAGTAACCTCTTGACTTTGACATAGAAGTAGCCCTCTCAGCTTAAGCTCTAGGACCATTTGAACAACCTAAGTATTGCTTAGCCGCACTCCACACAACTATGAACTGCTGCACTGGTAGAATAAATTGTAGTAACAAAACTAGGAATTTCTGTAACCATTACAGCCATTCTGAATAGGAGATAAAGTGAGTCAAGGAAGTGAGAAGATCTTCCATGTTAACAACTTCATGGAAATTCAGACATACTTATCTGTAACCCAAACAGCATCACTGAAGCAATGGTAGACAGGATAATGGCTGCTGCTGCAGAAAAGCCCTTCATAATGTTGTCTGTGTACTTGACCACAACAGAAGTGTAGAGGCCTCCAACACTTGCGAGAACTTGTATACAGAAAGAAAAAAAATTTTAACACTCAAATAAATGATATATTCCATAATGATGAGGCAATTTTCATCCCCAGAGATGCCACACTAATTTACTGTGGAGAAGGAAAATACTATTTTCCTTAGAAGCAGTCATTTGAGAGTTTGTGCCAAAATTGAGTACTAGTTCCTACATAACAACATTGTTTTTCGGATGCCCAAAGGGCTACGTGGTCTTCTAAATTGTACACATTTATTGCAAACACATTAGGTACTGTTGATGGTGAAAGCAAAATTGCTTTGGGATGGCTATGCCACAAAAGTAAGTCAATAAAACTGAAATTACATTTTCAAACTCGTATTCACAGTATCAAAGGAATCATTTCAAAATGTGATAAGGGCTTAAAATGGACATGGATCTTAAAAAAAAAAAAAAAAAGGCAGGAAAAAATTATCTACTCAGAAACTTTAATTCCTGGGTACTTACAAATGACAAACCAGACATAATACGTGTAACCATAGAAAAATCCTTTGTCCTTAATTCCAGCTCCATCTGACAAGTAGACACCGACTAACGTCACAGCAATCCCTGATAGGTACATTTGTATGTTTCTCACCCACAAGGAAGTGTCTGAACTCTTTAAAACTTTCTCAAAATACACTCCTGAAAGAAGAATATTAGACATGAAAATACAAATTAAATAAAGGTATTTTTCATAAATTAATTTAATGTCTTTCATTTAGAACAATATCATAGAGTAGTCCCCCATAGTCTCAGTTTAGCTTTTCTGCAGTCAGAAAATAGATGAGTACAGAACAATAATATATCTTGAAAGTGAGAGTACGTGCACATAACTTTTATTATATCAATGTAATTGTTCTGTTTTATTATTGTTATTCATCTCTCACTGTGCCTAATTTATAGATTAAACTTTATCATAGGTATGTACAGAAAGAAACATAGTATACAGGGCTCAGTACTATCCATAGTTTCCAGCAGCCACTAGGGTGGGGGACTTGAAACATATTTGTCCCAGTGATAACACAGGACAAGCACACTTTATATTAGTTAAATGTGTGTGCATTATGTAGGTTCTAATACATGGTATACTGAACATTACCAGTTTGCATTTTTAAAGGACATATAGATTAATAACTAAGAAAGAACTTTATAAGCTACATTTAACAGGAGACTTTGAAATTATCAAAACAGTTTTTGCTTATATTATTTTAAGATAGATCACAAAAGCTCTGTATTAATGCCAATAAAAGACTTACTTTGGTCAGCTAAAAAAAAAAAACTATACTATTAATGTTTATTATCTTAGTCATAACCCTGTACTATCTGCCTAGTAATGAATATTTCTAACTTTGCAAAATAACCTAAATAATCACCACTTGGAATTTCTTCAGAGTAATACAACCTAAATAAAAGTAGGATTCCACAAACCAAGTTTGCATGAATGTCAGAAGGACCATGATATCCCTAAATCGATAATAAATTTCACGTGTGTGTGTTTTTCTGGGGCTAAAGTCCACAGATTTTTTTCAGATGCTCTGAAGGAGTGTATGACATCCCCACCCCTTCCAGAGTCATGTACTACTGCTGTAAGATTTATATTTAAAATAATGCATATTTAACAAGGACATTAAATTTTTCCATTATAAACATCACATTAGACTAAAGAACTGCAACTAAAGTACTCATCAACTCAAAAGACAATGAAAAACAAGATTCCTTTTAATGAACCTATGTGGGAAAGAGCCAGACAATGGAAACAAACATAAAATGGCTATTTTTGTTTCCACTTTTGATTTTCTTTCCCTCTTTTTAGAGATTTTTTTTTTTTTTGCTATAGGGAGCATGCACTCACTAGAGGGACAGAGAGACAGAAAATGAGAATCAACCTCCAGAGCGGATGGCCACGCGGCAATCCCTTCTCCTCTCAGGATCTTAGACATTAATGCACATGTGCCCAGAGTGAGCTTTAAGCCACCGGGTCCAAGACTTAAACCATGTTAACTACGTGGGAGTCCAATGATGTAACCATACGCCATCTGCTGATCCTTCCACTTTGGATTTTACGATACAGGAAGCTTTATGACTGCTCAGTTCTCAGTTAATTATTCTAAGGATAACAGGGTATTAAACCACTCTCCATTTCTTGAATTGTATATTGAGAAGTGGAACTAAATGCAACGTTGGACATAAACATTCAATTTTCAAAACAGTGCTAATGGTCTAATAGTAATTTATTTTTTGAGTAACGATTCTTTTCCTCCCAACTTGTTGGGTTCTAAGAATAGAACATGATACTATCATTCATTAATTAAAATCCTAATCTAAAGTTCTCTCCTATGAAACATCTATTAATAAGTATTATTTTACTTCCATATCCAGCCTGCTCTCATAGGCAAAAAAAAAGTCATAACTTTTAAAATAGGCACAAATAAATAAGGTTGTATAGCTATAACTAATACAGTATGTAATAAGTTTCATCTGTTAGAATTATTTCTAAAATACATTTCATTTATTAATGGTATACTTTCATAGTTTATCTCTTATTGATTCATTAGAGGACTACTTGTCCCTGCACACAGGACCTGAGAGTTTATGGGGGTTTTGGTGTTAATGATTTTATGTTCTCTTGTTTCACTTTTTTTTTTTTTTTTTTAGGTGTTTGCCATGGGTATGTGCACTCACCAGAGAGAAAGAAAGTGAGAGGGAAAGTGAGAATTCTTCTCCCCCCGGGAGGGGGGGTGGCCAACCCGCAATCCCTTCTCCTCCATTCTCCTGGGATTTGGGGTACACATGCACACGCATCCAGTGTGATTTCCAAGCCACTGGGTCAGGGACTCGGACTGAGGTCAGCCATGTGGAGTCCAGCACCTTAACCACCACACCACCTGCTGACCCATCTTTCACTTCTTTGTTACTTTATGTATTATTTTTCCACAGCACTCCACCCACCTCCTCTTTCTACTCCATAGTTCTAACCTGTTAAAGCAGAGGAAAACTTGAGGTTACGGGGAAAAACAGGTGCTGAGCTGGTAACGTCAACAACTATCTAGCTTGAGGATAATGCCAGTTGAAGGGAAGAGAGGTACTTGAGCTTTCTGAAGGCTAGTTTCCTCCATTTTCAGAGGTCTTTTTTTCATTTACTTTTGGGTTCTTGGCTGGAGTGAGATGGTCAGGATGACAGAAGAATATTATTAGATAAATACAAAAATGAGTAAAGACTGACATCTGTACTAAGTTAATGCCACACATTTACTAGATAAACCACTGACATGAAACTAAATTATATGTAAAAAGATAAAGCTTTAACGTGAATAAAACTGGCATGATAAAGCAAGATAACTAGATCAACATTTAGAGTTTGATGTTTTCCAAAATATGTGGTAACAGAATAAAAAGATGCTTTTATGATTTACCTGCAAATCCTGAGCACAATACAGCAATAGCAATAGCGCCAAACCCTAATAATGGATTCTGTTCCACCTGCAATATTAATTTTGTAAAAAGTTATTTTTAGTGACTAAAATAAAATTTACCCAAGAGTCCAAACAAATGAATACAATACACTTTTACTAAAAGTATGTTCTACTGAAAGTATGCTGCATATCAGACACAGTTATTCTACAGAAGACAGAACAGTACCAAACCAAAAGACCATTCCAGTAATTCACAAGGGCACGTATGTTTAAAAGTGTCCTTCGATCATTGCCACAGTTTAGCAGCACATGTGCCTCCCGTTTCCTAATACCTGCACACATTCTCGCATACTTTTGCGTAATTAGCGCTTAATAACAGCTTTTATTGCATCAGGCTGGGAAATGGTAACAATTTACTTGTTCCCTATTACTTAGAGGATGAAGTACTGGCTCTTTTTTTTTTTTAAACTACCAAATTGTTTCTTTTATCTCCAACAAGTTTTCTTTTAGTTTTTTACAAAGTTGCTTTTAATCTATAGTTCAATATTATTGTGTTCTTACAGGAAACTCTATATATCAAGACATTAACTAATACAAAGCAATTCTTTATATTTAAGCAAAATATTAAGCAAAGTTTTACTCCATGCATTAACACTGATCCTATCTCTACCATATAGGAATTCTCTGTATAATTCTACATGACATTGTCTAATTCTATCAATAGCTAAATTTATGTCATAAACAGATCTATTATGATTTAACTGGAAATACTTACATTTGCTACCTTTTTTTTTTTAAAGGTTTTTCCCGTAGAGTACGTGCACTCACCACAGAGACACAAAAGGTGAAAGACAAAGAGAAATCACCACTTGGGGGCAATGGCCATGCTGCTTTTCCCTTCTCCTCCATTTTTCCTCCTGGGATTTTGGGCAAGCACACACATGTACCTGGCATGATTCAAGCATCAGGTCTAGGACTTGAACCACGGTCAACCATGTGGGAACCCAGTGCCTTAACCACCATACCACCAGCTGGCCCCATATATTTGCCATCTTTAAATGATATTTTTACTTTTTATATTTTTCTAAGCAATTTAATAAAGAATAGTCTTTTCAGGGGCCAGCAGGTGGCATGATGGTTAAGGCACTGAACTTCCACATGGCCTACTGCGGTTCGAGAACTGGTGGCTTGTGTTCTCACTTTCCCTATCCCTCTGTCTCCCTCTGGTCAAATTAAATAATAATAATATAATAATAAATTAAATTAAATTAATAATTTTTTAAATAGGCTTTTCAACAAATAATAAAGATGTCATTTGGGAGGCAGGTGGTATAGTGGTTAAGGTGTTGGACCCCATATGGCCAACCACAGTTTGAGTCCCAGACCCAGTGGCTTAAAATTCACACCAGGTACATGTGCATGTGTGCCCAAAGTCCTAAGAAGAGAATGGAGGAGAAGGGATTATGGAAGGGCCAACCCCCTGAGGTGATTTCTCACTCTCTCTGTCTCTGCCTCTCTGGTGAGTGCACATGCCCTATAGCAAAAAATCTCTCTCTCAAAAACAAGATGTCATTTGGCAAAATTGGACATCTGTATGACAAAAAAAAACCTAGATACAGACTTTATAGCTTACACAAAAATTAACTCAAAATCAATTACAGACCTAAATTTAAAGTGCAATATTACATAATTTCTAAAAAATGAGGGAGAGAAGAAAATCTAGTTGATGTTGGGTTTGAAATGACTATTTTTCCTTCATTTTTGTTGGATTTAATTTTTTTTTAATGTATACTATATATTATTTTTTCAACAGAGAACTTTACAGTTCAGTACTGGCTTTTAAGACTCCCCACCTTACTGGATGTTTACTAAATATTTATAGTATGCTTTCTGTATTCCAGATATACTGTTACATATTAAATAAATGAAGATGAATATTATACACAGCTCTGGTTCTTAAACAGTTTTGTATATAGGAGAGACAGACAAGTATATATAGTCATAATCCTGTGAGACCAGTGCTAAGAGGCATGCATACCGGCCCTGATCTACTGTGGCAGCTTTACTCCCTCTTCCCTCCCTAAACTAACCTTCAGGAGCTTTCATCAGTGTGTCCTAGGAGGCAAATACTATCACAGTAGTATCTCTGAAATTAGAGGGTTGAGACTCATGACTATAATATAACAAGGAAGCATTTCCTTTCTTCAAAATAATAAGCCTGATGTAAGAAGAGTATTACTTTGTGGTAAGAACCTGAGAAAGAAAGCATGGTCTAAAACATTTGCATGAAGATAACAAGAGAAATAAGATATTATAGACCAGCGGTTCTCAAAATACTTTGCCTGACTAGAAGCAGCAGCATCACCTGAGAATGTTAGAAATGTTAGAAATGAACAGTGTCAGGACCAGCAGATGCTGCAATGGCTACGTCGCTGGACTCCCATGGAGTCAACCACGGTTTCAGTCCCAGACCCAGCAGCTTAATGCTGGGCATGTGTGCGTGCGTGCCCAAAATCCCAAGAGACTGGAGGAGAAGGGATTAAGGTGTGGCCATCCCCCCAGGGGCTGATTCCTCACTTTCTGTCTCTATCTCTCTCTGTCTCTCCAGCAAGTGGACATATCCTATAGCAAAAACCTCTCTGAAACTAAAAAAAAAAAAAAAAAAGAAACAAACAATGTCAGGACCTATCCTAGACCCACAGCATCTTAAACTATGACAGTGGGCCTAGCAATCTATTCAAACTTCCAACTGAGTCTGACATTCATAAAAGATTCAGGGCTACTGCTATAGATTACAGATGATTAACCTGGATGCCTTCCTACAGATTATGAGACAGGCATGGGTAGGAGAAAATCATAGTGTAAGATTCTACCTACTTGCTCAAATTGATAAATTCTTGACTAGCTTTCCTGCAAGTTTAATCTATCTATAGTTAAGAAAAACAGTGATGTAAACTGCTTCTTTGGACTAAATTCAGACTGGTAAGAAACTGCTGGATGAAGTAAGTGAGTGGAAACTTGGGTAGAAAGCAACCATGTCATCTTAGCATGAGTAATAGCAAAACAAGCAGTTAAAAGAAATGTGCTCTAGTCATGAATAAATTAAAATTCGAAAATATGTGACTAGTGAGAAAATGGTTCAAAAGGGACTAAGAGGTTTCGAAGAATGAAGTTCTGGTGGAGAGTAAAAAAGAAAACATAAATTAACATGATTAATTAAGGGCCTCTTCACTGAATTTTTATTTTATAGGAACAAAAAAAACTCAAGTGCAAATCACTAAGAGGAATCTAATGAGAAATTTAAGACCTAGTATTAAGAAACTGAAAACTCAGAATAGGCAGTATTGCAAAAATACATTAGAACACTAGAGACTAAGGCTATAAAATTATGATACTTCAGTAAGTTCACAGAAAAAAAAATGGAATTCAGGGGACCAGCAGGTGGCGTGGTGGTTGAGACCTGGACACTCCCACGTGGCTGACCACAGTTTGAGTCCTGGACCTGGTGGCCTTCTTTCTCTCATTCTTTCTCTCTCTGTCTCTCTCTCTCTGGTCAAATTTAAATAAATGAATGAATAAATAAAATTAAAAATAAACAATTATTAAAAAATATGGAATTCAAGGTTGAGTTTATTTTGGTGTGAATACTTTGAAATCCATATAGTTTTTTCATAGTGTATTTTCCATGTACTTTTTGAAGACTCTGCCAACTTTTTTATACAGGAAAAATATAGTGTATTTCTTAAGTGAGATGTACTGTTAGATGGCAAGAAAATAGGTACTCAAATCTAGTTAGTATTTTCTCTGTGAAGTTTTTATTTTGTTTTGGGCCATGGGATGTGTACACTTGCCAGAGACACAGAAAGAGGGAGAGGGGGCCCCCCAGTCCCCCATGGCAGGATGAGTACACCACTATTCCTTCTCCTCCATTCTCCTCTAGAGATTTTGGACATGCATGCAAATGTGCCCAGAGTTTTTTCAAGCTACCGGGACCAGACTCTTACTGCAGTCAGCCATATGGGATCCAGTTGACTTAACCACCATGTCACCAGCTGGCCCAATAATAGCTTTTAAGTAAATAATAAATATATTTAAAAGGGCACTGTAGTCTAAGACATCTGATTTGCTATATAATAATACCTAGCTAGATAAAATAAATTCATTACAAGAAACGTTGGCAAGTTAGTGTACATACAGCACTTAAACAGTGAAAGTACTTAGTGCTTATATAGGGATTACAGCTGTTGTTATGCCAATTACTAGCAAAGTGTTAGACTGCATTTACAGATGACTTGAAGATTTTAAAGATTTGATGGTCATCACTAGAAAATACTGTGGCCTGCTTTAGAGTCAAATGTACCAAATTTCCTTACTGAAAGGATTCCTAGTGTCAAATGATAAGGGGAATTCCATAGAGATAATGTTTGGCAAGCAGTTAGACAGATTTGTATATTTTGTGAAGATGGGAATGCAGTGAGGATAACTATGTAACTGTGTGAATGCTTGTATAGAAAAATGCTAATTAAAGGAACAAAGTCAAGCTAGGCTGACGCCAACTTGCCAGGCATATGAATGAGCCGCCTTGGAAACATCCTCCAGCCCCAATCAGGCCTTCAGCTGACTATGGCCCTAGCCAATACAAGTAGTCTCTCTTATCTGCAGTTTCATTGTCTACAGATTTGGTTACCTATAAATCAAAATCCAGCTTTTGAGAGAGAGAGAGAGACCATATGTATGCACCAGAATTTTTTATTATAGAAAATATTATTATAAGTTCTGTTTTATTAGTTGTTAGTCACATGTGGTACCTAATTTATAAACTTTATTGTAGATATGTATATGTAGAGAAAAACAGTAGAGCCAGCCCTCACTATCCACAGGTTCTGAATCCCTGGACTAAGCCCCAGCCCCAGTGGCTTGAAAAACTCAAGAGTAGGTACCAGGATCCTAACAGAGTGGAGAAATGGAGGAGAAGGATGATATGACCAGGCCTCCTTGTGAGGTGTTTTCTTTCTCACATACATGAGTTTCCTGGTTAAAAAAAGAAATACATTGGGGCCGGCAGGTGGTGTGGTGGTTAAAGGCGCTGGACTCCCACATGGCCGACCATGGTTCAAATACTGAATCTGGTGGCTTGCTTTCTCACTTTCCTTCTCTCTCTCTGTCTGTCTGATCAAACTGGAAAGTAACAATAGTAATAAATAAAGTTAAATAATTCTTTTAAAAAAAATAAAAAAGAAAGAAATACATTAACGTTGTGGCTGACTTATACCATGTAGTTAGGCTTAGACGATGGTGTCTACATGGAGTATGTACAGACCTTTTTCCTCATCATTATTTCCTAAATAATACAGTGTAACAACTAGAGAAATAGCATTTATATCCTATTAGATATTATAAGTAGTCTAGAGATGATTTGAAATACAGGAGGAGTGACCACTGGCCCAATCCTAAGGGCTGGATCTCATGTGGCTGCAGTTTGGATCCCAGACCCAGCTTGGAAAACACACCAGGTATGTGTGTATGTGTACATGTGTGCATGCATGTCCAAAATCCTGAAAGAAATGGAGGAGAAGCGATTATGGCATGACCATTCCCCATGGAGGGATGCTTTCTCACTTTCCTTCTCTCTCTCCGTCTCTATGAACACAGGCAAAAACAAACAAACAAAAAATCAGGTGTACAGAAGATGTACATAGGTTATATGCAAACACATCACTCTTCCATATAAACCACTTGAGCATCTCCAGATTTTAGTATCTCCTGGGGGTCCTGGCACAGGATCCCCACAGGACACAGAGATGACCATATACTAGGTTCAATACTATCTGCAGTTTCGGGTGTCTTCCCACTGGGGTTTTGAAACATATTCCCTACAGACAGTGGCTGCCTGCTCTATCTGACTGCAGTCCTATAATAGATTTTAAGCCAGAACCATCTAGCTGAGGCAGTCTTAAATTCCTGACCCATAAAAACTGAGAAAGAGCAAACTCTTATTAAACAAGAGAAAAAAATCAAGGTATAGAGGTCTATAGGTGTAGCCACAGAATTTGGTCTTAATCTGTCTAAAATTTTTAGTGAAGACCCAGAAGGTAGTCAACTTTAGAAAGCACAATACACAAAGGAAAGGGGAATAATCAGTAAGAACTGGGAGTAGTTAAAGGGCTAAGCAATGATCCAAAGGTAACAATATGAGCTTAATAAATACAAAAACATGCTTCCTTTTGGTTTAATATAAGCCTACTATACAAGACACATTTGTATATGTGGTATGCTATATGCAGTTGTGCACAATCAATTATAGAATGGATATCCTGTCCCCTCCCTCCCCCCAAAAAAAACCCTAATATAATCTTATGCTGGTTTAGCAAGTCTCTAGTATTTAAAACAAAGCAGAGATCTCTATCTAGAAACCATATTGGAAAGAAAGCAATAGTCTTGTTTAAAATGGGAGGGGCAGGGGAAACTGTGATACTGTCCTAAAACATTCACAGGAGCATCAAATGAAGTAAGTAGGAATTTCAGTTATTCTGCCAGGAATAAAGAACAATGAGAGGCTGATAAAAGAAGCTGCATTAAGGCACTGGACTCCCACATGTCGACCACAGTTCAAGTCCTGGACACAGCGGCTTAAAACTTACACCAGGCATGTGTGTGCGTGCCCAAATCCCAGGAGGAGAATGGAGGAGAAGGGACAGTTGCATGGCCGCCCCCCAGGGGGTGATTTCTCGCTTCCTGTCTGTCTGGCTGGCAAGTGCACACACCCTATTAAAATATATCTCTCTCAAGAAAATAGAAGATGCTGCATTCTGTTGAAAATATGACAGAACTTTTTAGAGTGGCCCAAAAGTAGAAAAAAGGTGCCCTGTACTCTACTCTAGCTAAGCTTTTCACATACATTAGCTATGTGAGGTGGACCTAAAATCTCTTCTCGTGGTGTGAGCTAATATTTAATTTTTAACTGTTTGTCTTATTTCCTAATTGAATGACTTCTCTGAAGGTCTACAACTGTGTTAAATGTCCAATGTCTAGGCCAGCCCTGTAGCTTAGTGGTTAACAAGTCAATCCCACATGGTTGACCATGATTGAGATCTCAGAAACCTGCCATAGTACATGTGTGTGTGTGTGTGTGTGTGTGTGCATGTGCCCCAAATTGTGACAGGATAGAGAAATGAAGAGATTATAGCAGGCCTACCCACCCACAGGGGGTGCTTTCTCTCTCCTCCCTTTCTCTTTCTCTGGCAAATAGAATGTGCCCTTTGGTAACTAAAAAAAAAGAAAAGAAAAAAGAAAAAAAATGTGGAATGCGTATTTAATAGGCATTTTGAAATGTCACTAAGAATGTGAACATGCTTCCATGTTATCTGAAGACAGTAAGTATTAACGTAAAACTCATTTTCTGAAAATAAAACATTTCTTGACCAAGCCGGAAAAGAACTACTGAAAAGGAACAGACTTCCTACTCTCGCAAGCTCTCTGTACATTCTCAACTGTCTTCTGTTCCTAAAAGAACCATGATCCATTTGCTGAAAGTTGGGGAGAGTATCTGATTGTAGCGGAAAACCCCTGTCCTTGACAAAAGTCTCTCACTAGCGTTCTTCTGCCTACTTCTCTTAAGGACATAACTGATTGAAGCATAAATATATTTTTTAAATCAGGTAGGTACACTATGTGGGAGTTGGGACAATGTTAGTCACAGGCTATTAACTATGTAACTTTTAGGATATGTTATCTCAACTCTTGGGACTTTAGTTTTGTCATTCATAAAATGAAGAGGGTAGACACATTATGTCTAAGGTACCTTCTGGTACCTTCTCTATATATTTTATGCATACTCATAGAGACAATGAAAATAATGTAACCTTAACAACATTACACTAATTTTTGAAAAGCTTATCTAAAAGGCAAAAGTTATTTAAATCAAAGAAACATAATCATGTTGCGTTCATCGGTGTGACTGAAGTGTGCAAGATGTAAGGCCTTTCCTATTTATGGCAATTTGCTTCTTACCACAACTTTTGTGGCTTGGGCTGGCTTCCACTGTACAAGTGTGACTCCACCACACAGCATAAAAACTGAAATCCACTGCAGCTTGCTGAGTGTCCGGTTTAACATTAAAACAGTACATAAAGCAGTACAAGGAATCTTTAACTGGTAGGTCACCTGGAAACAGAACAGTGAATTAATAAATTCAGTTAATATTATTCTCTTACACACACACATCAATTTTTTTCCATATATTTTCCATGAGAGGCATCCCAACAGGGCCTTCATGCTGTGACCCACCCCAAGCCAGGGATGTTCGCACATGTGTACCTGTCATGCACAGGGAGACCAACACAAACCCAGGACCTTCCCATATGGCTTCAGCATCACTGAGCGCTGCATGACCACTGCACCACCACGGCAGTCCAGTCCAGGGCAATGTTTTTTTCTTTTTTTCTTTCTTTTTTTTTTTTTTTTTTACTGCCAGAGGGCACATGCACTTGCCAGAGAGAGGAGGACAGACAGCATGAGAGGGAGAAAGCACCCCCAATGGGTACCACAATTTTTTCTCCATTTCTCCATCCCATTGGGATTTTAGGCATGCACAGGTACCAGGCAAGTTTTTCAAGCTGCCAGGACCAGGATTCAAACCCCAGTCAGCCTTGTGAGATCTAGCTCCCTTAACGCTCCGGCCCTGAATATATTATTTGTGATGTAATAGAATTATCAAGAAAAAATATTTAATAATATGGTAAAGGATTAATAAAAATTTTTCACCATAAAAATGTATTTTTTTAAGATTCTGTATCTTTATTCATTAATTCCGCTTACCTGGTACACTGCTGCATCCAGGTTACTAAGGGCTAAGAAAGCCATGTTGTTCTGAACAGCATAAACTAATGAGGGTACACTTAATTTCAACAGTTCCTTGGGGCTCCCCAAGACATTTTCTCTTAAAGATGCTTTGAATCTGCCCAGACTACCAGTTTCTCTTTGAAAACAAAAAGAGGAAATGGGAAGGTGGTAAGGAAAGAAAATTAAAGAGCATTTTTAAAAATAAATTCCTGCATACACAGCATAACTGTATTGTCATAGTAAAGACCACTGAAGTCATTTAACAAACTTTTTTATAGTATTTAATTCGTTTTAGATTTAGTAGAAGAAAAATACCAACAATACGTCCCCTTTAAAAAAAAATACAAGCTCTATTTCAGAAAATATGACAACAACTAGGATTACCACCATCACCCTCTGGTCAAAACTCCAGAAGGTTTTGAATATATTAAATAATGAGATATCAGGAAACCAGTTGCTGATATTATTTATTCCAAAAATCTCTGCCACTTTAACCATACTGCATCAAACTCATACTGATTACTTTTCAATTAATCAGGTTGCATATCCACTTTCAAAGTTATGGGTTTTTTTAATTACAATAGATTTAAACTGCAAACGAAAGAAAAAGGCTTTGGCAGTTATGGAAGTTACTTGGGTTAGGAATCAAATGATTCAGGTCAATATTGTGAAATGAATTCTGTGTTTATGAAAAAGAGTGGGGAATAAATCTCTATACGTGTAGTTGTAAAACTTAAGTCATATCTGGATAATTCTATAGGAAACCTGAATAATTTACTAAGCCTAACAAGCAAGCTATAATGTATATAAAGTTTTCTGTTTGACTATATATTGATTATTCATGCTCTTAACTATTCTTATTTTTCCTCAGGATGAACCAGCTAATCTGGTTCATATTTCCTCTATTATAAATCAGATAATTTATTTCCAGAAAAAATTCTAAGATGTTTTATAACAAGGGAAATTAAAAAAAAAAAATCCTTGGGACCAGCAAATGGTGTAATGGCTATGTTGCTGGACTCCCATGTAGTCAACCACGGTTTGAGTCCCAGACCCAGTGGCTTAAATTCATGCCAGGCGCATGCGCATGTGTGCCCAAGATCCAGAGAGAAAAATGGAGACGGGATTGCGGCATGGTCATCCCCCCGCTGGGGGCTGATTTCTCGCTTTCTGTCTCTCTTTCTCTGTCTTTCTGCTGAGTGCATGTGCCCTATAGCAAAATCCTCTCAAAAAAAATAAATAAGTAAAATTTAAAAGTCCTTTATCAAAGTAGTCCTAACCACAGCTCAGAATATCCTTAAGAGGACTGTAATACTTTGTTGATAATTTACTTTAACTCGAAGTTCATGATTATCACAATGAAATCATATACTTTTGGTTAAAATATAAAGAAATAAACAGTTATGAATTGAATTTTTATATTTAAATACTGCAAAAAAAGAATTACTTAAGTTCTGAGAGGGACAAAAGTCCATAATGTCGAAATGATTACTTGTGACTAGCTGTTCGCTATAAACATTCCATCCCCAAGACAATGCCTAAGAGGAAATTTACGTAGGCCACCGATGATAGCCTTCTCAGTTCAGATCTTTTTCTGCTGCCGAACTCAACACCCTCCACACCACTGTTAAGTCTGTATGCTGTAATGTAATGCATGCAGCCTGGTAGTGGACCACTAACTATCAGAGAACGGAAAGGACGCCACAAAGATCACTCTACTGAAGAGCTCTGTAATCACGGGTTCCAGGTGTCTGATGATGGGCCCTTTAAATGTTTGGCATTCTGTTTTTAAGCTGCTGCTGAATACAAATCTAAGTTTTAGCTAAGATGTCCTACATACTTTCCTGACATGTTACACAGAGCATAAAGAACTGTTTTTTTGTTGTTGTTGTTGTTGGGTTTTTTGGTTGTTTTTTTGAGAGGTTTTTTTTTTCACTATAGGGCGCGTGCGCTCGCCAGACAGACAGAGAGAGACATAGAGACAGAAAGCAAGAAATCAACCCCCAGGGGGGATGGTCACGCCGCAATCCCTTCTCCTCCATTCTCCTCCCGGGATCTTGGGCACGCACGCACACACGCCCAGCGTGAGTTTTAAACCACCGGGTCCGGGACGCGAACCGCGGTCGACTATGTGGGAGTCCAGCGACATAGCCATGACGCTAACTGCTGGTTCCCAAGAACTGTTTTTCAACAATGTTTTCCCTTCAACCATAACACTGAAGAAAAACGTTAAAGAGAAAAGGGAACTAAAATGATGAAAAAGAATGACAGGGATCCAACCCAAAGAACCATCTTAACAAGGTGTTGTACTAGAAAACAACTGAACATTTCATAATCATACCACTGGAGAACGCCGCAGGATAGCACAGACGGTGTGAAGTACAGCATGCTGTTTCAGTGCCCTTCTAAAATGCTGGCTTACACAGTTATGGGTCTTCAGGGTGCTGCCTGAGGGACTGCTGATGTTCCTGTGTCCATCCCACCTCTCCACGTCCTCTCCCATCCATTAGTCTCCCACTTAAGATTATTCAAGCGTACCCCCGAAGGCTACAGTATCACAGCTATTTATCCTTTCTCTAACTCCTAGCTGGGCAGGGCATGGAATGACTTCTTTGGCTATCCAGAGAACAGAGTAGGTCTCTCTATCACTGGCTCTTTGCCTGATCAGAATATGGGATATTTAAGAATCCAGTTGCTACTGTGAATAACCCCCATACCTGCACCAATAATCAGTGTTGCTGTGGTCCCTTTTTTTCCTGTCACATTTTTTCATGTTCACATAAAGAGAAGGGTTTATGAAACAAATCAGCAGCCAGTCTGAGTACTCCTTTCCTTCAGCATGGCAAGCCAGTAAAGCATAATGTGTCAGGATTAACCTTCTGGTCCTTGTTTCTTTTGGCCATCTCCTTTCTGAAGATGCTTAGGAGCTTTTTGTCACTGCCAGGGAGGCTAAGGTATCTTCTGCTTCCTTCTCTAATGTAGGTATTAGAGAAACTAGGGTATCCCTGAATACTAACTACTGGAAAGCGTAAGTGTCACTGTAGTGATCTTAGAATTACTGTAATATTATATAATTATAAATAAAAAGTTGTAAAATGTTACCAAAAATTAAGAGGATGCTTAAAGAACTAGTGAAAAGAATGAAAGCTCAAGAATAGTTCTGGATTTTGGAGCATTTTGGATTTTGGATTTACAACCTGTACTAAAAACTGTTCTTTAGGTATTGTCTTTTTCCCATTAAATATCCTATTTGAACTAGTCTGGTTTTTATCATTGGAATAGAATCTGTGTGCAACCTTTTGTTATCTGAAGAAATTCTGAAGCGCCACATTGATTGCAAAGAGATCCCACTACTGCCTCCCCCACTAAACTTCCTATCAGCCGGCTGAACCCAATTCTTCTGACCTATATTTGGTCAAAAGTCGGCCTCATTCTTCCAGCTCCTGCTCTAGAAGAACTAGTAGGAGGCAAAAAATCCTTGGCTTAGAGACCAAGGCACTGTGCAAAATGGAACATAGTAGAAGTTACTATGAGCTTAGGAAACTTAATTTTTGTTTCCAAAATTTCTTATCTGCGAAGTATAATTAACTCATATAATGGACTTGGAGAGACTAGGTATAAAAACATCTATTCCTGAAGATGAAAATAACCATGGATGAGGTGCATGATATTTATTTCTTCCCAAGACCCTGAGCACTTTATGGGTACAAAGAGGCAGTGAAAATGTAAGGCCAGCAGCAGAAATAAATAGGACTGGATCATCTATAATGGAAGTACTTGCCAGCGAGCTCTGTTGATTACTTTAGATGGTACTGTGAAATAGCGAAAGAATTGTCTCTGCCCTTAGTATGGATAAGTACTTTGGTGCTTTAAGATTCATTTGCTTTAGGGACCAGCAGTCAGCGTAATGGCTATGTCGCTGAACTCCCACCTCGTCAACCACGGTTCGCGACCCGGGCCCGGTGGCTTAAAACTCACACCAGGCATGTGTGCGTGCATGCCCAAGATCCCGAGAGGAGAATGGAGGAGAAGGGATTGCGGCGTGGCCAACCCCCTGGGGGGTTACTTCTCGCTTTCTATCTCTCTGTCTCTGTCTGTCTGTCTGGCGAGCGCATGTGCCCTATAGCAAAAACCTCTTAAAAAAAAAAAAAAGATTCATTTGCTTTATAACTGAACACACCCAAAGTATACATACATTAACATTTACACATCTTGCTAAGGTTATTCAGTCTTTATAGACTGTGGTGAATAGCAAACAATAAAAAGTTGACTTTGTTCTAATGTAATGTTTTCACTTCCTTTTCTTTATACTGTCTTTTTTTTTTTTTTTTTTGGAGAGGTTTTTGCTATTGGGTGCATGTGCTTGCCAGAGACAGAAAGACAGAGAGATAGAAAGATAGAAAGTGAGGAATCACCCCCCAGGGGGGATGGCCATGCCGCAATCCCTTCTCCTCCATTCTCCTCTTGGGATCTTGGGCACGCACGCACGCATACATGCCCAGCATGAGTTTAAGCCACCGGGTCCAGGACTCCAACCGCAGTCGGCTACATGGGAGTTCAGAGACATAGCCATTACGCTAAATGCTGGTCCCCCTTTTCTTCATACTACCAATGACAGATTTAAATCTAAGTCTCAATGTTAAACTGTATCACAGGATTTAGTAAAGCATGTAGCTAACAAGGAATTTTCCTGTGAATTGTTGTAGTTTTACATAAATACAAGATAGTTTTTAAATGTTGTATTGTTTTATATTTCTATGTACAGCTTAGAAACTAATCATTTAAAATATTTTATACATAACTTTATTCATATATAGAGCTTTTGCAACATCAAACTTGCCAATCTGCCCTCCTCCCCAAAACATAATTTCCTAATAGGTTTCTATTTAAAATTCATCTGGCCAGCAAGTGGCATGTAGTTAAGGTAGCTGGATCTCACATGGCTGATGGCACTTGTGCAGTCTGAGTCGCAGTCTCGGCAGCTTGATAACCATGTTGGGCACTTGTGCATGAGTGCCCATAACCCCAAAAGGAGGGAGAAGTGGAGGAGAAGGGATTGTGGTGTAACCATACCCCACTGGGGTGGCAGGGAGGATACCTTTTCATTTTCCCTCTCTGTCTCTGGTGAGCACGTGC